AAATGTGCATTTCGTTAAAAATTTAACTTACATACTAGACATTGTCTTTTAATTAATATCTTTTTGCATTAGTTGAATTTGAACTATCGGTGATTTTAGTTCAATTGACATAATTAATTGTGTCGGTAGTTTTAAGTCGAACATATTAAATAAAATAGCATGTTTAAATTAACAGGTGAGAAACATGACTATGATGTAATGCAATATCATGAGAGTTATTCTGTCTTCGAACAAATAGAAGGACATGCATTAGGAAGAGACTCGATTGTTTTAATCTTAAGAGATTTAACTACCCCAGCTGGATACGTCAAACTGCAGCTCGTATCGTTGTCGTTAAATTCAGTCATGTCAGACTTTATTCATAAAAGTTGTAAAATTGATAAATGCGGAAGAATTTTTTTTCATGAAATTTTTAATTTCCAGATGAATCACCGTTTATGTATTCAACAGAAAATAAACCCGCCTTAAAGACAAAAAACTATTATGGTACATCTGTAATAATATAGCTTGCCGATTCAAAACATGGCCTACATTCGCACAGGAATGGATTTCCCGCGACAGATTGTTTGGATGGCCGACAAATAGTATGGTTCAACAGCTGTCTTTACTTGGATTTTTCGTTGTCAAAAAAGGTCATCCTTTGTCACCAGAAATATAGAATGGAGAGCATCGTTTTCTTTGCAAGAAAGGAAACTCATGTTTAATTTGACAGATATACAACACAAATGTTATACTGTTCTCAAGATGTTCAATCGTGAAATTATTAAGTCGAAATGTATAACTTCATACCATTGGACGACATGTCTTTTTTATGTGATTGAACAGAATAGCAGCATTATTTTGGAAAAGGAACAACTATTCGCTTGTATAAAGATTTGCATCGTACTAATGTTGACATGGGTAAAAAGTGAGTTTTGTCCAAATTATATCATTCCTCAGGACAATTTATTCGCTGGAATGCTCAACAAACGTTAATTTCTGTGTCATTTGGTCAATTGTGGAGAGTTGTCTCATTGGCAAACATACCTCATATTCTTATTTCTATATTCAGTTGGGATGTGTCAAACTGCAGCCTCAGTTGTAACTAATTAACATTCGTCAATTTGACATTTTAGAAATTATACCAGTTCTTATCGAACAGTCCTATTCATGTTGGGGTTTATACATATGCGGCCTCTGTTATAATCACCTATACCTCGTCAACTTTAATAATATAGAATTATACCGGTTCTAACCGTACAGTGCTATTCATTGATGATGTATGTCTCAGCAGTCTATGTTGATATAATTAACTGTCACTCGCTGTGAATTTTATTGGACCAGCTCATATCCAAAATGGTTTTTTTTTTCTGTTGGGAGGCATATCTATGCAGTCTCTGGTTTGAATACGTTACCTGTGTTAAAGCGTGATTCGGGTTTAAATCTGTATATCGTTATAGATTGTTTTAGTTATATCAGAATAGATTGATATGATTTATTTCATGTCGTTATCATACCGATTAATGATATATGTTATCCGAAATATTTATTAATGCTTGTATGAACGGTTGTTTCCAATTCACTTCATTAAAGGAGCATGACAGTCACTGATAAAAGACGAATCTGGATACAGGATTTTTAATTGTATTGTTATTGGCTTTTAACATGTTGAAATAATTTTGAGTAACTGCGAGTACTCTTATATGATAACTTTGTGGCTGAGTTTTCTTAGACGATAACTTTGTGACTAATTTTTTTGTTAGTTATTTTGTGCTTAATGTCGATCTGATGAGTCAATCCTTTTCAACATATTCAACTGATGCTAACATGTTGTGTGATTAATGCTGTGACATCACTGCCACACGTTATTAATATAATGTAAAAGTAAAACAACAAAAATACCGAACTCCAAGGAAAATTCAAAACGGAAATCCCCTGAACAATTGGCAAAATCCAAAGCTCAAAGCGGTCGCTATCATGTTTTAACCCCGCCACATTGTGTTCGACGTAAGAAATACATATTGCATTTGTTGTCAATAGCCGATGTCTTCATATTTGTTTTTTGTTTATTGTTTTGGACATAAAACAGGTCGTTTCATTTTTGTCTCGTTTTAATAGCTTTACATTTTGTTATTTTGTGGCTCTCATACATGAACCTTAATTTACGTTTTAATATTTGCTCATTATTCAAAGCCGTACGATGATCAATACTTTCTAATCAATACGTCATAATGTGTCACTTTTTCGTTTGCAATTATACCGTATACTCCCATTTGTCTATCAGAGAACAAAACTTGCCTATAAAAAAAAGGTCGTCCTTCACTTTGATTTTTGTGGCGGAATTTTTACAGATTTCATTTTATCTTTTTTCTCCATATTTATTTTCGAAAAGCATATAATTAAATAGCAACGGTATTGTTTCATTACAACTTATTCTGCATGTGGACCATCAAAACAAGTTCGAAAAAATCGTACAACCCGTTTCAATCTTATATACTAGTAATTACTTCTTCCTTATCAAGTAAGGCGACATAAGTCAACCGAAGTTCAAATTTTTATGATTACTCGTGTATTGTATTATTCATTTCAAACTAAGCGAACATTTCAACTTCGTGAAACTAAATTTGATTGAAGAATTTATTCGTTCGCGGAAACTCTACTTCAAGATTACTGATCTTCAAATAGTTGCACTTCATATTTTAACACTGAATTTTATCATTCAGCTTTCATTAATATCATCACTGATATCTCTCAAGAGCTTGACACTGTTTCATCTGTATTCTGTATTGTTATCTCAACAGTTACATGATTGTTTGTTAGATGTTGACGCCTGATACAGGTATATATTTGTAGATATCAGTTTGCATCTCTGTACTGGGGTATTTAAATGCAGTATAGAGTTAACTTACATTGTATCTAATTTGCCATGCCAGCTTTATTATGACAATAAACTATAGATCGAGTAAATACACTCATCATTGATACCATCATTAGAATTGTGTCCGCCAGATGTGCGTTTCGTATACAAAAGACTAATCAAAGACGTTACAATAAAAACAAGTTTGAAAGGCCAAATGAAGGACAAATTTGAAGTGTTTGGTATTTTGACCCTAGTAATCGTTTGATAATGTCAATGTTTTGTTACTATTGAAATGGGCTATTACATACCAATATGCAAAGTATTAGGCAGATGCCGACTTGATTCATGACTATACACTAAATTAGAACACAAACACAGTGTAAATGTCATATTTTTGTTTTTATTTATTCACTCATGGTTAATTACTACATGTACGAGTGATATAAAATTCACAAGTTAATTTCCGACATCTTTTCGGTTCTGTTTCTTTTTTTTTCAAGTTTTTTTTAATCTTTTTTTTACATTTTCGTCCAAGCCATAAATAAACCGACAGGCACTATATTCCAAATAAGGTATACAACTCCTCTCACGTAAACATGCTCGTTATAATGCAAAAAATAAAGTTTGAAGAAGAAACGATTCAAAGGGTCACTCATTCTGATCACATAGAAAAACCACACAAATCGATGTGAAATAAAAAATGAACCAAACAAATAGGCAACAAAACCTAAATTAAGAATTTATAGGTAACACTCAGACAAAAGAATGTATTACGAGGATACACGAATGATAGATATAGTATATTATGGACTGATTTTGTGGTATCATGAATATTATTATAATCTTTTACAATTGAATCCTTTTTAAAATTTTACATTACATTTAAATAGAAAGGTTTTGGCTTAAAGTATTTTCTGGCTAACTGAATTATTCTTTTGACACACAAAAATCATAAAATATTGATAACTACGGTCCAACTACCTGATGGGCAGATTCTTCCGGCTATAAACATTTTTGTCTTTCCAATTGGAATACGAATATCGTGCATGCTTAAATTGAATTATTACTCCCTAAAACTACTATTTCAAAGAGTATTTTTCCAAACTTAAATCAGTTAAAAATGCTTCCCAGTACCAAAATCAAATTAACATAAACAACAGACTTGGTACTAGTCGGCATCATAAATAGATAAATTTGGTTATCAGGATGGAATGTATAAAATTTGTATAAATGGCAGCAATATTAGTTCAAATGACTTAAACATTGTGTTGGTTGTAATGCAGAGTTCTCAAATTTATTTTTATATTCAAAATATTGAAACGACACTGAATAACACTAGTTTATATATCTAAGAATGGTTCGTATAACAAAATATTTTTTGCACACATCAATAAACATTCAGCATATGAGTACGTTTTATTAGAAAATACATTGTATCATACATGTCATAGATAAGTTCAATTTTGTCACATTTCATTATGTAAATAATGAGACTTACATATTTTTTTGTTATGCACATCATTAAGATATACTAAATAAATCCTATTACTCCTGATTTAGCAGATATAACATGTATAAGGACACAACACAACCGATATATCTTGTAACTCTGTTACACCTGTTATGAAACGGAAAATATGAAACTGACACGTATTTTAATATATATAAAAGTGTACATCCAAATCTTTGATTAATATCAGCCGAAGCACTTCTACATGTATATAGTATTACATAATCGTAGGATTTGTAATAAACAATATCTAGTACAAGCCCTTATGTCCATAAATCTGTACACTGGGTATTTATTACATGAATATACAATTCAATAGATGTGTTATTCAAAAAAGGTTATCCACCATCATACTCTTTTAACAAAGATATTTTTGTATGCGTGAAACTTTGAATGAACAAAACAAAATCATCAGAGCTGATAAAAGAACATAATTCCCTAGATAAGATTAATCAATTTCTTAGCTAAGACAGTATCCTGAGTTACTGAACAACCTTTTTTTAATTCCTTTTTGTCAAATGTTTAATTTAATATTCGTAAGGTAACAGGAAAAAAAATAATTTTATTTAATAACTTCATACTTTTAATAAATTGAAAAATTGAGAAATTGTAAGTCAAAACTGGGATCTGCTAAATTAGACTTGAGAAGTGAGAAATGATAAGTTTGAAATAAGGCGTTTGTACATTTTTTACTTTTTCATTGGAAATCGTACGATAACTTTAATTAGGTGGAGTTATCAGTTATTTAGTACTGTTGTGTTCACATATATAAACTTAGAAAAGAAAAGAGAGATTTAGTCAACAATAGTTGAGGTTCTGGAACAGGTTCACAAACTGAAAAATGGTACTATTTGTTTTCTCTACTTCTTGTTGTAAAGGTAAAATGCTCAATACAATCCACATTTAATTTAAATTTAGTTAAATGACCTTGCTTTAAATTGTTGAAATTCAGAAATTCCTTCAATAACATACACAAGAAAATTCGATACATGCTTGATATTTTGTTTAAACGATAAAACACTTTGGTCATGTTAGTTGTACTTGATAATAGATATGGAAAAGTCAGACATAAAGATACTTTCTCACATCTTTACAAACAGCCTCATGAATCTTCAAATTTATTGCTTGACATTTTTCGGAACAATATGTGGCTGTTTTGCAATTGCTACATGTTTTAAGGTTTGTATTACTACGCAAAAAACACCGAAAGCAGAAATTGAACCTGGATGACTTTCTGGTAAACCAAGTGTTGTACAATATAACCAACGCATGCAAGATTGATGCATTTGATTGGTTATTTTTATAATTAATTTCACTGTTATTAACCAGCAAAAATGCATTTAAATAACACAACGGATTCCATGACATTGTTAATGTTTCTAGCGCTAAAGGTGTCAACCCAACAGTGAAGTAACTCCAAGCCATCATATTAGGCTACTTCAGGATGCCGAACATTTCTTAAATCTTCAATTTGATAAATATTAAGTATATCGTCCGCGGACAAATTGACCCCCTTAAATTTCAGTTTTATTAAGAACCTGAGCAGGCAATAGTAAATATTCCTGTCAACAACAGCTCCATAACACCAAGGCGTTTTAGGGACTTCTCTTTCGCTTTTCATTAATGGAATAGTGGAGTACTTGAACACTTCAAACTTCACAGCGTCAGGAATAATTGGAAGTTCAGTTGGCATAAATGAAACACATGTAGATCTACTTAATTGTGAAATGCCAATTATATTTACAACTTTTGGAGATATTACAGCGTATATACTATCATAACTATGGCCAATACAGTAAGACCGACTATTTTTTATTGTTTCTTCGTCGATTTGAACTAAGAACCATTCACATTCTTTATAACAACCAAGAGCGTACAACACATATATAAACTTCAGATATCCAGTTAAACCACCTTTAAAGAAATATATAAAAGATCCTAACAAAAGGAAATTGCGACCCTGAATATTCGGTTGACGGATACACATTGCAGAAATATTACTAGCCAAGCTCATGTAGATAAAAGGTGTTAATAGCAATAGAGAACGTCTTGTTTCTTCTGTTGTGTGCTCAGTAGTATGGTCTTTTTGTTGAATAAGAGCTAACATTCGCCAAAGAAGTTCAATCAAATTTGGACGTTTTTCATTGGTCAGATATAGACAAAATTCATACATTGCAGCTTCGACAATTTGTATGTTCGTCTTGTATATTACGTCTTTATATGCCTTAATGCTATCTCTCCGAAGACTTTGGAACAATTCGGGAGACCTCCGTGCTTCGAAATAGTCACGTATATTGTCAGATTTTACATGCTTCAAAAAACAAAATCCGTCACCTAAAAGTTTAACTAATTTGTTTTCTGACACTGTTCTCAAATCGTGAGGTAACTTTCCATCAAACATATTTTCACTGAGAATAAAGTAGTTAGGGCAGAAACCTTGTCTTACCCAATCTAACATTTGCGTAGTACACAGCTTAACACATTGAAAAAGATTAGTTTTTCGCCAAACATCCAAATTATTCTCTTCTATCACATAAAATAAACATGTCTTCCAATGGTATGTAGTTATACATTCCACATTACCATGATTAATAATATCACGATTTAACATTTTAAGAACAACATAACATTTAAATTGAATATCTGTAAGATCGAATATTAGATTCCGTTCTTGTAATGTGAGAGATATTCTCCATTCGAAATTTTGTTCGGTAGACAAAACATGACCTTTTCTCACAAGAAAATACCCAAGCGATTTCAGCTCATTAATCACATCTTTTGTTGGCCATCCATTGCATCTCTTTCGGGTCAGCCATTCACGTGCCTCTACAGGCCACTGTTTGGACCTGTAATAGGTGACTACATCAATACTCATACCATTATAATTTACAATGGTTGCAGCAGGCTTATTCTTGGGTCTTGACATATGAGGTTTGTTATTTTTATGTTCATTGATAATCTCAGTCAGAAGTATTCGCTTATATTCATCAACTTCGAACAAACCTTTAAATTTACTGTCATAAAAAGACAAATCGGTAATTGTTCCTGGTACTTTTCCCCTTACGATTTGTAATTTATCATACCCAGCATGTGTACGAGGATCTCTAATGATTAATAATGAATATCGGGTTTGAACAGCTTTTGATATGTCCTCGATGACAATAACATTGTCATCACATGAAATAGCATCAAAGTCAGTTTTAACACCTGTCAAAAAAATATGTGTTAGTGATACATTCTTAAACCTGTCAACTCAAACTCAAACGCATTTGATAATTATATGAAATACGTATGGCTTAACACTAAATGAGTCATCTACGGATTTCTTTTTTATATTTTCATAGAAATAGTAGTATTTTGTTCAATGGTTATTCACAAATGGTTAGTAAATATTCTTTGCGGATAAGAGTCTCGACTTGAGATGTCAATTTTCTGCACACATGGCCTGTTTTGTCGAACTTGTTTTGCAAATGGCTCAAATGTAAAATGTCTTAAAACGAAACATATGATAAACGACTACGTAGTGCAGCAGACCAAAACAATCTTGATATTAATATGGTGTTCAAATTTCTGCACTCCTAGCATCAAGTAAAATATTAGAAATACAGAATTCCAAGGAATATTCAAAAAATTTGTCCCTTATCAAATGGCAAAATCAAAAGCTCAAACACATCGAACGAATGGAAAACAACTGTACTGCTCTCAACTGTGTGCATGCATTTCTGTATGTCGACAATTATTGTGGATAAAACCTGGCTGTACGGACAGCTGGTAAAACATATGTGTTAATATGAATCATCCTTAATATGGTCATAATTATAATTTAATGTTTACAAAACTGATTTTTTCTAAAACTAAGGATGTTCTACCACAGAGATAGATTACCTTTAACTGTATATGGTTACACCTTTCGGAATGTATAGTCCTCAATTCTCTATGTATATTTTTCAATTCTCTTCAATTTTATACTTTACTGACCTTTTCAACTTTTTTTATTCGAGCATAACTGATGTTTCTTTTGAGGACAAAAGGCGCGTCTTGTGTACACAATTTTAATCTATGATGAGTTTTTTGTCTAACCGCCTGGTCGACGGTATTGTTTATCGCTTATGTGTTGGCAGTCATTATTATTGATATGGTAATAAAAATAAATTCACTTTTTACAAAACTGATTATTTTTCGAAATATTAAAGAATTTTTACCTGGTGTTAATATACCTTCCAATTTACCTCCAACTCCATAATTGGCCATCTTTTCATTTTCGGATCCAAAAGTACAAATAATCTCAAACGTAATGCCACTTCGTTGAAAAGTCTTCCTATACTCATCATTCGCTCCAATACTATCAAGGACTTCATATAACCAGGTTCTATCTTTTTCATCGTCTGAAAATATTTTTCTTGGTTATTGTTTTATACAATGGTATTCAACCTATGTTTGACATTTAGATAAATTGTAGATGAATAAATTGTTTATACATGAACATGATGCTGTACAAACTTTTAATTTCGGCTTTCCAGCTAGTTTTGATGAAACTGTATTGGATAAAGTGATAAACAAACTGTAAACTACAAAAGAAATCATAACTTAATAGTTACACTTAGTTTACAAATAACAATAGGAAAGAGGGGAGAACGATACCTGAGGGACAATCAAACTCATAGATCGAATATAAATTGACAACGCCATGGCTAAAACAGAAAAGAAAAATTATTTTTTTCTAAAGTTCAGTTCAGTTTAATATTGATTCGACTATTTAAAGTTTACTGCACCGAATGACCTATTTGAAGTTCAATTGTCTTAACGAATATCACTTCACATGACATTATTTAGGCAAACATATTTGGATTCTAATTAATTTTTATTTCCACTTATTTTTCTCAACATTCTTACATTTACCATCAACATGTATTTTATCACAGAAAAGTCGGTTTGATATTGATATATTATTCCATCTGTAGATAATGAACGAACAATATATATTAGTGGTTATTTCTGTAGTTGTCTTTTGTAGTACACACTTTGAAAAACCGGTACGTTTGTCTTTAAAGAATAAAAATTAAATTGATAGTTTATAACATATTAATGAACAATTTTGAAAGGAAGTATAAAGATTGTAGGGAACTATTGAAATTCCGTCGGGTAATAGCGATACAAAGTTTCTTTTTTAATTTCATAAAAAAAATACATATTCATAAATTTCAAAAGGTATTTAAAAAGAAAATTAGTGTACCTTATTTCTATAAGTAGAAATTAGAATTTATTGATAAGCAGAATATTGCATCGTATACTTTTGATTGATGCTATATTGTTCTTTTTTAAACTTTGAATATGTAATTGGATAGCTTTAAGCGTAAGATATAATATTTGTGTGCACACACAGTGTTTGTTTTTGCAATTAAAAAAATCATCATGCTCAATCGAGAACGAAATTAAGGAAACTAAAAAAATATAACAGGCTTTAAGACCATAACATATAGATGGGTTTCCATGAAGTTATCGATAACCCATACAACTTTTTTTGTAAAATGCTCAATTAAAATTAAAACAATGACATCAATTCTTTTTGCAAATAAAGGGTGGAATGTCTTTACTTTTTTTAAGTAAAAAAATCATACTTTGTAAAGACTTTTGGAAGTTTTTTCCAACAACAAATATACCAAATACAATTTCTTCAATATACTGTACTCGACTTTTGATAAACAATATATTGATTGTTTTCAATAATACCGTTCGTTTTCTAATCGGCACTAATATGGCATCCCTTTGCAATGTGTTCGCACAAATATTCATAGAAAACAGAATTAATACAAACCCTTTTTAAAAAATTATATGAAAAGTCATTTTTCAAAGTCTTTAGATATTACACTCAGTGCTAAAATTATATGTATACATATACCATCATTTGCGATTGTAACTATTATGATTATTTATCTGGGCCTAAATTGTTTTGTCTGGCCTGACAAGATTTTTACATAATTGGGATGTGGCCTATGTATGGATGTATCTGTTTTTCCCCGATAATCGTACCCTTTCACACATAAGAAGTGTCAAAGGTTAAAGTTATACTTCTGCGAGAGGAAATTACAAAAACCAAAGTACTGATATTAAGCCTGCTGTACAGAAGAGGACTCAGTCTAGTTAAAATTTGATACTTTTGAGAAGAAGTCACTGACTTGTGCTTATTGTAAGACAAATTATCGTGTGGTGGCTGATTTTTTAAACTCTTGAGAAAGAATGAAAAAACATTAAACCAAAATCCAGTGCTTGTACGACGTCCCTTGTTACCAAGAAGTTAGAATATCCTGCGAAACAGGATTTTAAGTCAATTTTAGTGATTACATGGGGGATTATAAACTCTTTATGTCCGATAGGTTTGTTTTTATTGTTAATAGTATCTCCTCAGCCCAACAAAATTTTACCAGACACTAGAGCTTCTCAGAATTTGTGTGTATTATTAATAAACTTGTCATAAACTTGTCAAAAACTTGTTAAAGTTGTGTTGCCTTTGTCCGAGGAATCTTCTGTTGGTGTCTCCGTTTTGTTACCGATTATGGAATTAGGAGTTAATGTCCCTAAAGTGGCCGAATATAACTTCCTTCAACGAGGTATTAGAAAGCGGAAATTGATACCCCTGATGATATCACAGAAGAAGAATGGCGAGTGTTATACCGATAATGGATGATTAAACTCTTAAGGCAAGACATTAATGGTCTTGTCAATGACACCCCCTTAGCCGGACATTAAGGCAAAAGGAAGACTTGCCTTAGGATCTTGAAACATTTCTACTTGCAAAAACTTAAGGATAATGTCACACAGTACTGCAAATCATGCCGTATATGCCATGCTGTAAGTAAGCCAAGCCAGAAAATACCACCTGCACCACTTCTGCATATTCCAGCCTTTGAATAACCTTTCAGTCTAGTACTAATGGAATGTGTTGGACCTTTATCGAAGACCTAGACTGGAAATGCGTATTTATTGACGAGTATGTGTACATCAACTTTCCAGAGGGTATTCTCCGTGAAGGAATATTAAGACATCAGCTATTGTCGAAGCTCTTTACCAAGTCAGGAATACATGGAATAGTTGTTTTCCAATCATTAGATGTGTTTGAGCTTTTGATTTTGCTATTTCATAAGGGACTTTCCAATTCAAATTTTCCTTGGAGTTCGTGTTTTGTGTTGTTGTTGTTATTTATTTACTATTTTCTAAGTCTATACAGTCCGACTTGGGTTCCAATTTCATGTCAGGTTTATTTCAGCATGTCGTTTACCAGTTAGGTATTACTTAGGATAGGTCAAGTGCTTATCAAATATTGAGAAATATGATTAGACCATTTTGTCTTCAATTTGTGTTCTAGAAGCTTTCCTTCTACAATGTTGTAGAAGCTTCCCTTCTACAGTTTTTTTATGTTTTTCCTTCTACACCGTTTTAAAGGTTTTTGCGGTAACTATATATACAGACACCAAACTTAGACTTATTCAGAAGTAAAGTAGTATTCTTAGAAGATCTCTTGAGTTGTCGGATTGACACTTTTGTTTTCATTTACAAAAAAAAAAGTAAAATCACAAAAATACTGAACTCCGAGGAAAATTCAGAAAGAAAAGTCCCTAATCAAATGGCAAAATCAAAAGCTCAAACATATCAAACGAATGGATAACAACGGTCATATTACAACATCATATTAACTTATTGGACATAAAAATGTTCTGTTGGATTCCGCTACAGTTAAGAAAGGAATTCCAGATATAGCAAAGATTATAGGATCAGAAATTCAGATGGTGATCAGTTAATCGGACATGTCTTTTTGTATGATATTTCTAACTTGTTAAATTTATTATTGACTTTTGTCTTTTGTTGGCTACAATTCAGATGATCTCTGACCAAAATGCAGTTATTTTGGCATTTTGGATAGACATCTTAAGTTCTGCTTCATATCAAATAGACAAGTATTGACCATTTCAAACAGTTTTGAAACAGAAAAACGTACCGTTTTCAGTACCTCCTTCTTCATTTGCTTCTTCCATTCCTTCTTCTTTTCTTTTTTTTAACTTCTACCATATGTTGAACACCTTCAAAAAAAGTAAGATACTTTCACTAGGATATTTGCACAAGGTCATGTTCTGACTGTTAATGTTGTCTTTCGTTAAATTTCAATGGCTTTTGAATGTGTACTGAATGATATTTTAGTCTTAAATACATGATAATTTTATGAGAAGTTATTGGTTTTGAACTAGTTATTAGCAATTGCGAATACTCTTAGATCTGTTCTAGGTGTTCATTTCGTTGTAAGATTAAGGGATGCATAAAAACCATGCAACGTCCGGTCTGTATGTTTGACATTTTTATGCTTTTCTATCGATCTGATGAGTTAAGGTGCCACATGTGGAGCAGGATCTGCTCACCTTTCTGGAGCACCTGAGATCACCCCTAGTTTTTGGTGGGGTCCGTGTCACTTAGTTTTTAGTTTTCTATGTTGTGTCATCTGTACTATTATTTGTCTGTTTGTCTATTTATTTTTGGCAATGGCGTTGTCAGTTTGTTTTCGATCTATGAGTTTGACTGTCCCTCTGGTATCTTTCGTCCCTCTTTTTTAAGCCTTTTTCAGCTATATTTTATAGTTTGTTCTTATATGTGCAGTTGTACCACTGTTCCAGGTTAGGGGAGAGTTGAGCGCTCACATACATCTTTAACCCAACGTAATTATATATGTGCTGGCCCACGCCAGAAGTGTTTTCCCATTATCTAAGGTTACCTATAATTGCTTAAATCAACATTATTTGAACTTCGGAAAATCATACCTCATCTTATAATAATATTGCGCCCTTTCCAATGTGTTGGTACAATTGTTCTGAAATGTGCAAGATATTATTGAGTCTCTTCGAATTTGAATGACTATTCTGTACTTTTTTGTAGAAATACTTCGACGTTCTTACGTTTTTCAGCAGTAACCGTTGCAACTTCTATCGTCAGTTCTTAATTGCTTTTGTTAAACAATTCTTAATAATAATTTTCATGAGGATTGTGGGGAGGGAATAAAGTCAAAAAGGTGCCATAAAGGACTCATACAAATTCTGTAAGTTTAAGGTTTATCTAAAATCCAGTCAATGGGTCAGGAAATGATAGTCAAACTTGGAATGAATTCCAAGGTAAAATCTTTTGGAAAAAACAAAAAACAGAAGGCTCTTGTTGCATTTGATTCCAAAATCAAAAATATCGTCAGCGATAAAAGAGGATTTGATTAACCACTTTTGTAGATCATGCCAGTAAAACGTATTACTATTGGAAACAAAAAATTCTTTCAAAAAAAGAAAAGATATAACTACATGTAGAAGGCGTAAAAATAGAAAATAGATATAAGAAGATGTGGTATGAGTGCCAATGAGACAACTCTCCATCCAAGTCAAAATTTATAAAAGTTAACCATTATAGGTCAAAGTACGGTCTTCAACACGGAGCCTTGGCTCACACCGAACAGTAAGCATGTTGATATATGTAATATAACTTCGATTTCTAATTTAAGATAAGTTGCATAAAAAGTGTATGAACAGATGTCATGAACACATTCTACCTTACGATGCTATCACGATACAATGCGGATCATGTCTTCAATCGGCATTCTAATACAGTGTGCTCAGCAGGAGTTATTTTATAAAGATTTCACAAATATGTTCATTTCATACACACAAATCCTTTCTATAAATTACCTCTTTATCTTTGTCATGTGAACTTTTTATTTTGACGAAACAATAAAAATAAAAGATTGATTGGTTTTGTTGACGCTACTTTCAACACTATTGGCTATATTGTTGGTGTCAGTTTACAATGGAAAAGAAAGCTGGAGTGTTCAGAAAACTCAACAACTGTTTTAGCTACAAAAAAGCTTTCTATTTATGTTATACATTATTTATTGCTGTTTAAATGAATATGAAAAACGATATTGACATTTGTTATACACAACAATTTATTTATGTATTTGGAAACATCTCTCTGCATAAAAAAAGTACACCGGTTCTGTAATTTTTATGAAATAGACATTTTATAATACTGTCATGTTTTAGAAAATTGAACGTGGCATTTAAACAGACGTACACGGTCATAAAAAAACATGTCGTGTAAATTTTGGCATATTGATGTGACTAATTGGGGTTTTTGTTTTAATTTTGTCTTTCTAAAACGCAAATTATATTATTTTTTTCCCCAAAATCATCAAATCTATATTTGGTGGCAATTATTTTCAGATTATTGTATAACCTTTAGCCTGTGTCTGCTAAAACAAATAACATGGATTATCCCTAATACAGCCATGGGAAAGAGAACTGGCACATTGCATTATAGGCACACATATTTATACTACAAGACAATATATCGTTAAAACTCTGTCATGTTGATTGAACTATTTTTTTTTATACCTTTCAAAACACTAATCATACCAGTGAACCGAATTATAGATAGTTATCAAACTATATTTTGCTGAATGAGTTGTAGACCCTACTTACCAAGCTCATTAGTACTTACGTTGCATATTTTATGTCTTTTTTCCAAAGTGAAAATTGAAACACATACACACGAACATATACAAGTAATGTTTCTACTCGTTAGCAGATATGATATGTTTGATCCTTTTTTTGGGGACACGTAAGCTCGTGTCATAGGCTGAACAATGTTTCAATTAGTCATCAACAATCTTTAAATACAAGAACACTGCACGTCTTTTTAACTATCTATAGTTAACCTTATTCTTTACAATTGTACAATTTACGTATAGCATGAATAACCTCTTTTATCCTTTTAACTATCTATAATCAAACTTATTCTTTACAATTGTATTTAGTTACAATTCACGTAAAGAATGATAATCTTCTTTTGTATACTTGAATATTTATCAGTTGAATGTTTTATTTATAAATTTAAAATCACTAATGGGGCATTCAATCACCAAACTAAATTGGCTTAATGAGAGATAAAATACGATTGAGCTTGTCCTTCAGAAATTGCATATTGATTTACTATTATGCTATGTCATATCATACTGCAGTCATTATTTACAATGTCAGCAAAGATATGTGTAGCAAACATGTGTGTAGCACAATTATTTTTAAATTCTGGTTTTAATTATAATAAATACAAAGTGAAATTAACCCATATATAGTATCAGTTATTTGAATGGTGAAGAACGCAAATAGACTAATTGTAAACTTAGACTCAATATCAATTAAATTAACAACAGTTACAGTTTATGTTATTTCCAAAATAAAGACATTTTTGAAACATCACTAGAATTAATAAAACGTAACGTAACTTCCAATGATCTACCATCAATTGAAATGTTTAATTAACTTGTCTTATATTTACATACTCATGATTCTTACAAATACTTATCAGTGTGGGATTTGAATGCTTTTGTATTTTGTTCTGTTTTAGCCCGACCACGTGACGTCACATAAGGCTGATATGGGTTATGAGCCTGAGTGTGCATGTATGGCTAGTTTACTCCCGCTCGTTACACATATGCAAAAACTATCATATAAATGCTAAGTATATAATAATTTCACATATAAAAAAAACTCTATCTATAATGTAATGTTTTTAATAATATAAAACATTCTAAATTAGGACGAGAACAAATTAACTGGTAATGCAACCGGTCAGCAAATAACCCCTAAAAGAGTTGTTACAAGTGTTATGCAACACACAACGAGCATGGCACCCTCTCTACACGAGCTTTCGGACTATTTGCAATTCCTACTGGACGTTGCTGACTATTCATACACAGCCAGTAATGCGCCCTGGTTTACAAATGACTTATTCCTTATATTATGAGGGATATATTATATTTCTATATATAATTATATACATCAATTAACACTTAGGGTATACCAGAACACGGAAAGAATATCGGGCACACTTAATACGGTATACCAATTCAGGAAAACTCTAAATGTCAATGCGTAATGTAACACATTTCAAATACATTTCTTATTGTAAATTGAGCGTTAGTTACACAGTGTAATCAAGTAAAGTACATATTTATAAAATATTTAAATGCATGTACATTGAACATCACAAAATACTTCACATTTTTGTTTTGACTTTACAAAGGATAAAGTACAATAACAATATAAATGTCTTACGTAACTAGCTTACTACTCTATAAAAATTGACATCGTGAATAAATTTTTAAGATAGTTTTTACACATTCCAAATCAAAAACTCTCTGACTGTTTGGTTTTCTCCTAGGTGTTTCGTAGTTTGTGGTTGGTCTTGCTGTCATTTATTTATGGGTTTCTCGTATAACTTTGGTATCTCTTGCCTCTTTTTTATGTATTTCTTTGTGCTGAGTGTTCTTGCGTTTGTTTGCACTGTATTTCTGTCACGTAGTGTTGTCATTTCAGCGGTATTTTTAATATTGCCATATAAGCGGGAGGTTTGGCTAGCCATAAAACCAGGTTCAACCCACTATTTTTTTTTTAAATGTCCTGTACCAAGTCAGGAATATGGCAGTTGTTATCGGACAGTCCGTTTCTATGTATATTGGCGTTTGCTTTTGTTGTAGTTCAGTGTTTATGTTGTTCAATTGTTTTCATTTTATAGCTGATGTGTTTCCCTCGGTTTTAGTTTGTTACCCGGATTTGTTTTTGCTTAATCGAATTATGACTACTGAACAGCGGTATACTACTGTTGCCTTTGTTTACTGTGTAAAAAAGACTAACGATTTCATGATTTATATAATGTTTGTTGCTTGCTTAACATCCAGTGGCAATTGTTTCATACATATTAAGGAAGCAAACAAATGAATATTCAAACAATATGTTGGTTCTACAACATGGGACAATTGGGATAAAGGGCTAAAGACAGACACTGAATAATGAGAATGTTTGATGGGGGAGCAGAAATTTTGGCCTGCAATAGTCCTCCGATAGACTCATCATAGAGTTGTTTGGCATATCCTTGAACGTACAGAGAGCTAGGCACTCGACCAATATCAGGAATCGGATATAAAAATCCAATTCAGACAGGACGTAGTGTAAATTATGACATGTATGAATTATGCACAGTCAAACAGGAGTACATATTTCAGCAAGTGTTTCCATGGATGACAATGGATGGTAATATTCCTATACCTCGTTCATTCCTGTGGTTCTTACAATTCACACGGAGAACATGAGTACGCTAAAATGTACTCAGGTCAATAGCTAGTAATTTCAAATGCTTTCAGTGTTATTCACTTTTTCTGGCAATAGGTTGATAATCATGTAGTGGACTGATAGTACACAAGGGAACCATAAGCTCATTAGTCAGTACCGACATGATTAATAACGTATCGTCCTTAAGTTATCAACTTATAAATTTGACAGGTACTTAAAAAATCTGGCTTTGCTTTATAAATTCATTTGATACATGGCTCCTTGAGTAATTCTAGAGCTTATCCATCCATTGCTAGCAAACTGGCGTTTGAGTGCTGTTCACGAAGGTAAATTCACCGTTGACGTAACAAAATTGATAAATTTTTATTTTTAATTGAAAGCGTTTTAAGTTTAAATGAAATTAAAAAAAAATCGTAAAGGGTTCCACAGAACCTTTGTCTGGTCTGCGATTATTGTTGTCAGTATAATGTTAACTGTAAAAGGTAAGTCAATCTATAAGTAAAATACGGAATTTAAAAAAAAATCAAATGTTCTCTTTATGTGCTATTTCTATTTCAAAACAATCCATGAAGATATAAAAAAATCGTTCTGTCCAAAAAATATATTATCTCAGATTAATTGTACATGTAAAGTCTGTCTATCAGTAAAATACTGAAAATGACTTTTTTTCTCGAAATTTTGCTTCAGAAATTATATCTAAATCATGCGAAACCGTCTACCAAAATTTCATAAAATTCTATGGACATTTGACAAAGTAATTGACGTGTAACGAATTTGAACAACAGACTGTACGAAATTTTTAACTGCAGACATGGTCTTTTTTCAGAAAAATATAAAAGAATGAAAATATATCTTTATTATTGTGCTCTGGATACTGTCCTTTTATCATAACAAAATTCTGTCCAACTTACGTAAAATTCCATGAAGGTTTGAAAATGTTATTGATGACAGAAAGAATGTAACCTCACACTTGTGTACTTAAGTTTAACTGTATAATTAATGAAGTCCATTTGAAATACGAAAAATAAAAATAGTTATTTTCAAAAGTTTGATAAGCTTACTCTTTAAGTCACAAACAAGCTTCTGTCCAAATTTCATAAATTTCCACAAAGGTTGGAAAACTTTATGGGTGTCTAAAACAAAATTACCCACGAACGGAACCTAAATGTTTACGACACCGACGTCGACGACCGATTATATTATCGCTGTCTCGATTTTGGAGACAGAAATATCGCATACCTGACGAAAATTACTTGGACATAATATTCCTAAAAACATGGATAATATTAAATAAAAAATCCCCTAAATAATAAAAAAGAAATTAACAAAAATATGTTTTAACTAGTCTAAATGTGTGTTGTACGCTCCAAATGTGTGTGCATTTTAATAATAATTCATTAATCTTATGCATATTATATGTCCATGTAAAACTAGATTTATAGAAATATAAGCATGTGCATGTCACGGGTACAGTATGTTTTCAGTAATAGTAAAAGTTCAATGATAAGTTAATATTGATATTAAAAGACCTCCGAACAAAAAGGGATGTTCAGATCCCCGAGCCCGAATGGATAGCGTGAAATTTCCACTACACCAGTCATCGGAAATACATTCCTATTTCGATCAGACAGAGCTGCGCATTTATATATCCGATAGGCCAAGCGAACGCACCTAAGACAAGGGTATACTGTGGGACGGGAGAGATCCAGACATGTCAATATCTCTATACCCAAGTGAATCATTTTGTTTTGAATAAAAAGATATAAAGGTATACATTAATGCGACAGCAACCCAAAGACACAGACAAATCAAAACATTAAGATTCAACATTCAGTTTTTATAGAAAGATGCGTATACAGAATAAAAAGCTCAAAACCGCCTCATGACTAAATAATAGTTATACGGAGTTAATTCCATAATATTTGCGGTCAAATATTATGTATCCCAAAAGGCACATTTGATTTAGTATTATTTACCGTCAAAGGTATCCCAACAATAACAAGAAGTGTTTGGTCGAAAAATTTCAACTGCCCAATTTTAATTTTGATCGGTGAAAATTTAAGAAGTTGTACTATAAACCAGTAGAAGAAAAACACTATAATATAACGGTAAATTAATGATGATAATGGATGACGACCAGCGGCAAATAAAATGAATATTCAGGACGATAACATGTAAATATGATATGAGTATTAACCCCGCTTTTTACTAGACTGACACGCTGAGTCGTTTTTTTTTAACGTGTAATTTTACAAGATATTAGTTTGCAGTAAGAAAAGTTACCCGACCCGGACACATTTCCGACTCTGAGCTCTTACTCTATGATGCCAGGTGTTTAGCGTTGAAATAGCAAATACCAATTTTAACGTCTTTGTTTGGCCCGGTCGGGATTCGAACAAACGACCTCCCGCTCTCGAGGCGAACACCCTCACACGAGACCAACCAGGAGAGCGGTAGTACAGAATATCATACCCAAAAAAAATCAAGTACAATAAACAAAACAGTTTCACAGAATTCTCACAGT